TTGTCATTTAACTGACAAAAAGATTATTTTGGTATCAAAAATAAAAGTTTAAGGATAGTTTTAATACTTTTTAAAAATAAAAAACAATTTTGGTACCAAAACAAAAAGTTAAGGGACTAAAATAGTACTTTAACCTTAATTAAAATATAAATATTTATTTACGTGATATTTTATTTATCTATATACTATAAATATAATATATATATAATTGTCATGTCATAAAAAAAATTAAAAAAATATATCAAATGAAATTATTTAATTGTCACGTTATATTTAACTGATGGAAAGATTAAAATTGTGTAATTTTTAGAATTCAAAGATTAAAAAATGAAAAAAAAAATTTAAGACCAAAAAAGTGCAACTTATAAAGTTGAGGAATCAAATTATTTAATTATCATGTCTTGTTTAACTGATAAAAGAATCAAAATTGTGTAATTTTTAGAATTAAAAGATCAAAAAAGTGAAAAGAATAATCTAAGGATCAAAAAAATGCAAACTTATAAAGTTGAAGGATCAAATTTAGCATTTAACCTTTTCTTTTTCTTTTTCCGGCACGTGGAGGGTGATGTGGAGGGTATCATTAAGTCCACATCAGCTGTTCCCGTTAAGTTAACGTGCCACGTGAGCAAAAATTAACGGAGGAACCAAAAAAGGGCTGGATTTGTGAACAGTAAGGACCAAAAAAGGGATTTTTTCGGTACAAGGACCAAAAAGGGGCTTTTTCCTATAGTAGAGGGACCAAAAAGGGTATTTAACCTTCGACAATCGATCACGACAAAGAGTAAGAAGACTCGATTGTAAGGCGAATCGACAGAAAAAGAAGAGATCTTGCTCTGTTAGGGATTGTTTTTAAGACAGAAATAGAAAGGAAAAAGGAACGATCGATTTTAGGGTTCTAAAAAAAAATAATTTAAACTTCCCCTTCCTCGGAGATTGGGGTCTTTTTTTTTTTCATTTTCGTGCGCGTGAGAGTGACGTGGAAGGTGTCAAAAGTCCACGTAAGCATTTTTTACATGTTGGCAAACCACGTCAGCTGTTCCAGTTAAGTTAACGTGCCACGCGAGCAAAATTTGACGGAGGGACTAAAAAGGGGCCGGATTTTAAAATTTAGGGACCAAAAAAGGGATTTTCTCGGTACAGGGACCAAAAAGGGGCTTTTTCCTATAGTAGAGGGACCAAAAAGGGTATTTAACCATAAATTATTCATTTGGTTGATCAAGGAAACAAATTATGTCATTTTTATTAATAAAAGTTGAAGATACTACATATATTGTTCATGATTCATATATTACAAAAGAACAATGTATTTGGTATTTTCAACTTTTATCAGTGAAAATGAGATATGTAATTATTTTACAATTAAATTCTAGATTCTTATTTATTTAAAAAAATATTAGTAGAAAAGTAGGACAAAATTCCGAATAGCCTTTATGTTTAAATAAAAAAAAAAAAACTTAGTTTTTCTTAAATAAAGTTACAAGTTTGAGTGTTATAAATAAAGATATAGGTACTAAAAGAGTTTTTTCCTTATGAGATCTGAGTCAAGTCGATTTCAAATTAATTGGGGCAAAGGGAAGTACCAAAAACATAGGATTAAATTAAAAATACAAGTTTTCTAAACTGAAAACTATTTAGAGTGTCAACACAAAAATATAGGTGTCGGTACTTTTGCCACAAAGCTAAGTTGAAGGGCTTATTTGCATCCGTTGGTGAGTTGAAGGGCTTAATTGCATCATTTTTAGTTTGAGGGTGTAAATGCTAATTTGGGATAAGTATAAGGGCTTAAGAAGGGTTTTTGCCTTTATTTTATGTTTTACTAAAATTCTCTCAACTTATTGAAGACTTGGGCTTGGCAACAAGATGCCCATATCTACATAAGCGGTAATGGGCCTCCTTCTAGAGTTGAGTAATCGGTATAACAAATAGCTAATAATATCGAGGCTAAACCCAACTTTTAGCCCTTCACCTTACAAAATTAGTAAGTTTTAACTCTTAACCTTATAATATGACACTTTTAGTCCTTTACGTTACAAAGTTGGTAGGTTTTAACCCCTCATTTTACAAAATTGGTAGGTTTTAACCTCTTACCTTATATTATGACATTTTTAACCTCTTATCTGTACGAATTGAAATAAATAACCCTTATTTAACATCAAATTTTAATGTTCTATTAGTTCTATTAGCTGACTGTTAATTCTGTTAGTTGACTGTTAATATCCGTTAGTATTCCGTTAATGAAACTAATAAATAAAATTGAATTTAAATTTTATATTTTTTATAACGGAATGCTAACAGATGTTAACAATCAACTAACAAAACTAACAGAATATTATAACCTGATGTTAGGTTATGGTTATTTTTTTTTAATTTGTATCGGTGATGGGCTAAAAATATCATAATATAAGGTAAAAGGTTAAAACCTACCAATTTTGTAAGGTGAGGAACTAAAACTTATCAATTTTGTAAGATAAAGGGTTAAAACTGTCATGTTATAAGGTGAGGGGCTAAAACCTACCAATTTTGTAAGGTAAGGGGCTAAATGTTGGTTTTTGCCTAATATCAAAGATTAGTCCTCCACGTGAAGGATTGAGTGGCAGCACCCTATCCCAAAGGGCAAAAGCTTACTTTTAGTCTTTTATTTTAATAAGTTTATAAGTTTTAACCTTTCACCTTATCCAGTGACATTTTTTGTTCCTCACCTAGACTAATTGAAAAAAATAGCTCTTACTTAATGATAAGTTATAACGTTTTGTTAACTTTGTTAGTTGATTGTTAGTTCTATTAGCTGACTGTTAGTTCTGTTAGTTGATTATTAACTCTATTAGTTGATTGTTAGTTCTGTTAGTTGACTATTAACTCTATTAATTATGTTAGTTGACTATTAACTCTATTAGTTGATTGTTAACATTCCGTTAACGGAACTAACAAATAAAATTGAATCTAAATTTTATGTTTTCTATAATGGAATATTAACAGTCAACTAACAGAACTAATAATCAGCTAACATGACATTAAATGAGGGTTATTTTCTTCAATTCGTATAGGTGAAGGGCTAAAAGTGTTATAGTATAAGATGAGTGACTAAAACCTACTAACTTATTAAGGTAAAGGATTCAAAGTAAGTATTTATTGTCCTAAAAGGTGTGAACGCTGCTGAGGGTTTAGTTTTCTTTCTTTTCTTTTTTTTTTTTTGGTAAAATAAGAGATGCATTAAAAATGAAAAACAACATACAACTAATGTCTAGGGAATTCAAACCCCATAATATCCAAAATACAAAACAGTTTGATAGCATAGGGACAGTGAGAGAAAATAAAAAAATCTTGAAGAAGATCGTGTCCCAGCCTAGCCATTGCATCAACTACCATGTTGGATTGATGGACGATATGATTAATATCGATATAAAGGAGTTGCTGCGTCAATTCCCTGCAATCCATAACAAGAGAAGACAGAGAGTGCTTAGGGGAGGGAGCACCAGAAATAAGCTGGGAGGCAATACTAGAGTTATACTCTGTCTTCAAGTGAGTGAAACAATTAGCCACAGCAAAATGGAGATCATCCCTAAGAGCCCAAAGTTCAGCAGCTAAACTATTAGAAATGCCAATTTGACTCACAAATCCCATAACCCAATTACCCTTAGAGTCACAAAATAAGCCACCAGCTGTAGCGTGCCTTGTCAAGAACAGAGCCATTTGTATTCAGCTTAAGAAAGGGGGGAGAGGTAGTTGACCATCTGTAGGAAGCAGAAACATGGGTTTTAAGGGGATGATAGGCCTTTGCTGCCCAGAATTGAGCAACTTTTCCAAAGATGACGTCGATAGTAGTGGTTATAGGAATAGGGTTAGGCTTATGATCAAGGTTATTTATGCGCAACCAAATACCCCACAAAACGAAACAAAAAGTAGCTCCCCAAGGAATGTGTAAGAGAGCAGATTGATCTGTGCATTTGCAATTGTATTTCAACTAGGAGAGGCGGTCCAAGTTCCTTTGGTCATTAGAAAGGGTGCCTGGGAGGATGCTGTTAAAAATAGAGGACATAGGGCAGAAGCGAACTAGGTGATCAACAATCTCCTCCAATCCACATCTTGGGCATAAAGCAGTGGGAGAGATACCAATCCTATGTAAAAAGGCAAAAACACTTTAAACATTGGTGAAAAAGAAGCCAGATGAGATGTTGTATTTTAGGTAAGGTTTGGCATTGCCAAATCCACTTCCAATCCTCTTGATAGACAAGGGGAATGTGTTTGGCCATTTTATATGCAACAGCAGGGGATAATTCCCCTTTGCTATTACTTTTCAGGAGATAGAATCTGGTCTAATAGAAAACAAGGAAAGGGGGGGGTAACTTGAATTTGGAGCAGGATCTTAGGGGGAAGATGGTAAGCAATCAATTCAAGAGCCTACGAACCTACAACAAGAAAATCAACAACAGAAACTTGATCATACTTAGTAAGATGAGGACCAAAAAATAACAAGGAGAGGGGGTGATCCCCAATCCAACAATCGGTCCAGAACTTAACATTCTGGCCATTATGAGGGATCCACTTGACACCAGCTTTAAAAAGATCAAAACCTTCAGAAATAGATTTCCAAATAGGTGACCCAAATTGGGAAAGGGCGTTATGATAGTCTGAGATCCTATATTTCTTGCAAAACATGTCACACCACAGCTTATCCTTCTTAGTGAATAGGCGCCAATTAATTTTACACATGGCAATGAGGTTTGCTTCCTTGGAGCTTTTGAGGTCGAGGCCTCCCATAGCCTTTGGTTGAGTCACAGTATGCCAATTTACAAGGTGAATTGTTCTGTGCTCAACATCAAACCCCTAAATAAAATCCCGAGAAACTTGGTCTAGCTCTTTATGAACAGATGCAAGAAGCCACATGGTTTGCATATAATAGTTGGGAATGGAGGCAAGAACTGAAAAAGCCAGTGTAACACAACCAGCAAAGGAGAGGAACTTAGATTTCCAGCCAGTAAGCTTAGCCCTCACTTTATCAATGAGAAATTGGCATTTACTCTTGGTAAGCTTTTTTGGGGAGATTGGAACACCAAGGTAAGTGCCAAGGGAGTCAGTTTCAGCATAACTAAGAATAGAACAAAGAGAATTCCTAGTATCTTGATCAATGTTCTTAGAGAAGAAAATTCTAGATTTGGCAGCATTAACTTGCTCCCCTGATCTAAAACAAAAGAAATCCAAAATTTCTTTTAAGTATAGGCAATTTTCACCAGTGGCTTTTCTGATAAAGATAAGGTCATCAGCGAAGAAAAGATGCAAAAGAGTAGGACCCCTCCTACCTACTCGGCTAACTTTCCATCAACCAAATTGCATACCAATGGAAAGCTTGATGGAAAGAAACTCCATGCAAAGGATGAAAATGTAGAGGGAGAAAGGGTCGCCTTGCTTGATGCCTCTAAAAGGAAAGAAAGTTTTTGTTTTGTCACCATTAATCAAGACACTAATGGAAGATGTACTAACCATAGACATAATAAGCTTGATGACATTTGGAGGGAATTTGAAAAAAAAAAGGAGTTTCCCCAATAAAACTCCACTTGAGTTTGTCATAAGCCTTCTCAAGATCGAGTTTGACAACCATATCTCCAATTTTCCCAGTTTTCTTACCAAAAGAATAAACTAATTCCTGTAAGATAAGAATATTATCCGTGCCTTGCCTCCCAGGGATAAAACTAGATTGGCATGGGGATATAAGATGATCCATCCAAGGTTTAATTCCAAGTCCCAGAATTTTGGAAATAACTTTGTATAGAGTATTGCACAACCCAATAGGACATAATTGCTGGATAGTTTCTGGAGATTTAACCTTGGGTATGAGGACAAGGAGGCATTCATTCCACTTTTCAAGAAGACACCCTGAAGCAAAAATCTCATTGATATCAGAACATACCTTATACTTAACTGAATTCCAAAGCTCCTAATAAAAGAAAGGATGCGTACCATCAGGACCAAGTGCTTTGAAGGGTTTCATAGACTGGACAACTTTAAGGATCTCAGCTTCAGAGGGGATACCTCCAAGCCAGTCAAGGTTAATTCCATCATGAAGATCCAAAATCAAATCCAAAAAGGAATCACAGTAGGAGTGACCATGAGAAGATGAAAAGATTAGAGAAGAAGTCCGAAGCTATGTTTGCTAGAGAATGAGCATCATAAATCCATTCTCCAGCATTATTTTTCAATCCCAAGATTCTATTCCTGGACCGATGCTTGACAATAGAAGGATGAAGGAAGCGAGTGTTTCTATCCCCATCTACAATCCAATCAGTCCTAGATTTCATAAACCAGAAGTTCTCTTCTAATTTAAGGACATATTCTTATTCTTGAATGAACTCTTTCTCCAACGTCCATAAGAAGGAAGAATGGTTATATGACAAGGAGTTTTGGATACCAAAAATGCGATTCAACAGTTCTTTTTTCCTCCTGAGGGTTTAGTTTTCGACCCATGCTCTCGGTTCCCCTTACTCCTAAAAATATAAAAATACAAAGATATATTTTTATTAATCAAAGCAGGCCAAAATAATTATTTTCCTGCAATGTAAAATAATAATTTTAACAACAAAAATAAAAATTCAACCATATATTTTAAACAACTCACAAAAAAGTACAAGAATTTTAATTTTAACATCAAAAAATTTAGCTAATAAGTAAATAATTTAATAATAATCTCTTTTTAATGAAAATAAATATCTTAAATTTGAGTTGTATTTAAGAAATAAGAGACGGCTACCTTATATTGTATAATTTATAATCAAAATATGAAAAAAATAAAAACAATATAGAAAAATAGAGGATGGCTTATCGGAATGAACTGAGCAAAAATTAAGACAAAAGAGGATTTTTTTTTTAACATTTTTAATTTTTAAGGAGAGGAGGCTGCTGTGGGGTAGTTTTGAAAAAGAAAAATATTGTTTTTAAAATTATGGGTAAAAATGTGCTCTACATTTTAAAGTGTGGTATTATCAAATTAAAATGTAATAATAATTCTATTTTTACATACTTTTGAAATTTAAGGTTTTTTTTTAAAAAAACTTTAATTATTTAAAGAATTAAAAGAATGCCTTTGTATTTATTGATAACGAGTAAATTCTATTTTTTTCATTATTATAATTTTTTTAAAATGAGATAAAAAAGAATGGCCTACTCCGGCACAGTAGCATTAGATCCTGGGTTAAGGCTATTTACTTCCAATGAATTGCACGTTCGAGTCCTACGAAAACCCTTTCCCTCCATCCCACAATTACCCTGTAAATAATTACAAAATGTTCAAAAAAAATGAGATAAAAAAACTCTTAAATTTTAACTGAATAAATGATAAACAATACTACTTTCACCCACCCATAAACCACGTTCATGAGTAAATTCTAGTTATGAAGTTTTCTTTCTAACCATGGCATAAATTCAAGGTAAAGTAAAAAAACCTGAAAAAAAAGATGAAAATCATAAAATGGTTAAAGCTGAAATCTTAATCAACAAAAATTAGAATCACCTTCATCATGGTCTGACTTACGCGGTAAAAGCCCAAAGAATGGCATGAGACTGCAATCATGCCATTATATATTAAACTAGTTTTTTTATTGTCCATGCTTTGCATGGGTTATAATCAACAAGAATATTTTTCAAAATTGTACAAAGTCACATTAAAAATATAAAGAACCAAAGTGAAATAAGAACATAAATTCTTTCAAATTTTGCATCTCAATTGCTTTAGAATTAAGATCAAACAACAAATAAAACATTTATAAAAAAAAAAAAACTAAATAACACTCTTATTATTATTTTTTTAGTTATTTTAGCCCATGCACACATTGTTTTTATTTTATATCTATAATCAACAAGAATATTTTTCAAAATTGTACAAAGTCACATTAAAAATATAAAGAACCAAAGTGAAATAAGAACATAAATTCTTTCAAATTTT